GCATCTTTCCATTGCTTCTCGGAAAAGCAACAAAAATATCCTCTTTTCCTTTGAGTCTAGGTGCCGCTTGTACCCAGGCCGGAGAAAAATCCTCCTTTTTTTTTTTTTTTTTACAGGATTCTTTTCTTGGATTAGAGTCAGATTACCAAAATATATAGAGTCCCTGAAAATGCCGGGAAAAAGTGAGAGTAAAGGAACAGCTATTCCTTTGCCGGAATTCCCAGGAGATTTTGCCTGTGACATATTCAAGAGTCAGATGATTGTCCGCAATCGTCTACTACTGGAAGAGATCAAAATCTCTGAAAGCGTCCGTTTGAACCATCAATATAAAATATTTATTTTTAAATAGAACCTCGGGTAACTCACTCCAAGCCGCAATATCACAAGCTGCCCAATAAATTTGATAGAAGACTCGAACCATGATGGTTCTTGTCAGTCCCAGTCCCGTATGATCGTTTTTCGAGTAGTTTTCTGCAGCTTCTGAAATATTTCAGGTCACATATTTGGATATTGATATTTTCTTATATTCTGAGTTTCATATTTTAAATATTTCTAAGCATACATTTTCGCACTAAAATTTATTTATGGACCAAGTTCCTCCTACAGGCAGAAAAATAGCGCTGAACGAGCAGGTCGCACTGGCAAAGCCGCACAATGATCCTCAGAGCTGGATATGACACGCGAGAGCTAAAAAGAGTCAGGGTTGCGCAAGAGGGGTCCGGATATCGCGACACAATACTCGTACATATGCCGTGGAGAAGAGAGAGTATCATAATGAGAATCCGCACGAGGGGCCATGTCACATAATGGGGACATGTGGGCCCCCAAGAGAAGAGGGCGTGACTTGCGTCATTTACCCTCAGTGCGAAAGCAGCGCTTGGAATTTCCGTCGCTATTCCTCTAATTAAGCCCCCCGCCAACCTCTTTTCGTCCTGTTATCGCCGATATTCCGAAATATTGCATCATTTTTGTAATGTCTCTCTGGGATTCTTCATTAACGTCTTGTGTCTCCCCCGTCGAAGAATTTAAAATGGGTCGTTGGCCTTGTAACATGACCAGATGGAGAGATATTCCTCTGGGCGTGTCTGAGGAACGAATGAATGCCTTTAGTCTTGCAACATCGTAGGAGACGATTTTCCGAGCAGATGATTCCTTCTTCCGCCTACTCTAGATACATAAGCAGACACTTTCTACGTCGTAAGTGTTTGATAATGTGGGCGGTGTTGCGACCTCTTCTCTCCTCCCAAATCCTTCCTGCAAGGAACAACGTAACTCGAATTGAGACACTGGAGACATCTCCCTTCTTGGGGACCTTCCAAACGACGCCCCAAAGAGTTGAAAAATAATTTAAAATGAGGATATCTACTCGTTTTTGAATAGCAGACAAGGCGATAGAGTGATGCACTACTATGGACGTTAACGGCGGATACAATAATACAAACAGCAAATTATACGCTAATGAATGAACGCCCTTCTACTCTGGTCTTTTGAAAATTATAGAGCTTCACAATCGCAGGAAAAGCAAAATATGCAATCATTTTATGCATTTTGCCAGCTGGGATGATATAATTAGTTTAATTTCGTAGCGGTGTCCCCATGACGTCTTTCGAAAGACCGACTCCTAGAGGGAGGATGAGACGGAGCCAATGATGGGCAAACCCTTGACTAAATTCAGCAATGTCCCTGATCACATATTCCTTCTTTCCCACTATATTTTCCCCATTCTTCCATTGTCCGAGGTTGCGACTTCACTTGGGGTGCGAATAGGACAAGGAGCCCCTGATAAACATGATTTTCCTTTCATCGCACGTCGTTCGCACTCAATTAATTTCTTTTAGAGCCGTATATCATTCGCGAAAATTGATGTTATCTGTAGACAGAATGTCACGGCTCGACTTGTCCCTCGGAAAACAGGGGAAAGTCACGATTTCCAGTTTTACTAGGAAGTGGCTTAACTTCCGAGGTTCACTCCTCTCTGATTCATTGGTTTCACAATAGAAAGTTCTTGGCTGCCCCTTTTTGGCGAAATATCAAACTTGGGACAGCTTGGAGTTGAATTCCGTCAGCCTCTAGGAATAGGCGTGGGAGGGTTTGCTTGTTACTAAGTACTAAAAATTCTGCATAGGCAGACGTAACGTATATTTTTAGAACGAAGTCCTTTCCCGGTCTGATCAGCGACTCCCAAGCCCGTAGGCACTTAATAAATTGCCCATAATTATTATAATCGTGCTGACAACTCGAGTCGGCTGCTGAGCAGCAGCTCACCCCAGGGGAGACTGAACTGAGCCCAAATGAGAGGTAACCTACTCCTGTCAATCACTGGCTAAGCATATTTTTAACTTCAAACATCTATGGACCACGCGTGCTCGATCCACTCTCGAGCCTGGTGTAATCGATGATACAGTATTTCTATAATAAGCTCAATGAAATCTAAAATTATATTTCTTCACTTATACCTGGCCGTTTACGTATTATAAAAAAATATATTGATCCTTCAATTAGCAAGTTTAAAGTCCGCATTGTCTCATCAACCTGTGCTTGAAGGAACTCTCACTTATATGTACCAGTACTTTCCAATCGGCCTGCGCTTAGCACCCAATGAGGATGCTACGTAACAGTGATTCAATCAAGGGTCAATCTATCAATCAGAAGCTGCCTTAAATTGAATAAAGACATGTAAGACATGCTATTTAATGAAATTCTTAAATTCAGCAATTTTAGACTTAGCAGGTCATAGATACCGTGAAAAAAATTGCCATCTTACTATAATTAAAGCAATAATTGCAGGCTTCAAATATGGAAATGCCATTGCGTAAACTAGGCTTAAGTATTTCAATCAAATAGCGTTTTTTTTCTGACCAAGGAAAGTTTTTCGAGTTCTGTCGGCAGAGATATATTCATAAGGTGCTATTGGGCCCACCTGGGGAAGCGTGGTCAAATACCCAAGACGTACCACATATATAAAAACTTCATACACAAAACTTTATATTCTTCCGTTTGCACTCTAGTACAAAGGAAGAGACAGAAAATATTACAACTAAGAGCATCGGTCAAAGGCAGTGCCGTAAAACCCGCAATAACCCTGTTTGCAGAGGCCTATGATACGGTGCACCCTAGGAATACCTAACATCCCATCAACTTAATTTTTTCCGCACCCGTGAATCTTCATGCGGAAGTCGTCATGGGCGCTTCCTTCGCTCAGCAATCTCCCTTCGCTTCTCCCATAACTTGCTCAACCGGCCTTGGCAGTCCCATTTCTGCTACCCTGCCCCCTTGGCTCATGAGTACCCCACTACTTGCGTGGCACCCCTGGGCAGGACACCATGATTGTGCCCCTCCCATCCTCTGCGTGTGCATGTATAATATACAGTACTTCCCGATTTTCAGCACGCTCTTCTTGTCTTGTGCTCCTGATACTCCGGGATCCCAGTACTCCTGATTTTAATTATCCACTTAACTTTCGTTCCTCAGTTGAAGGGAATGGAAATGACAAGCCTTAGTTATAACTGTGAAATGGAATTCTGAGGAGCTCCAATGAGTCTGTACTGATGTGGATACTTTATTTCTGTACAGGATCCACACTATGAGCTGATCAGGAGCCCTGGAAACTAGTGGAATAAATAATAATTGATTATGTGTGAGTTCAATCTCAACTGATCGTGAGGCGCTGTGTAATGCATGTCAAAAGATCCCACCATCAGGGGACGGAGGGGGTGACGAGGGGTGTCTTAAGTGCTGCTCGCTAGGAAATTTCGGGGGGGGGGGGGGATGATCTATTGAAACTCTTTTCGCTCCATCGACCATCCCCTCCCCATTCTCCTTTCGTCCCTTCACTCAGGACACCTCCTCCTCCTTGGCACCGGCCAAGGACGAGGTGAATTGTAAGTGGTCCATTTTGCGGCCCCAATGACCCCAATGTTTGGACACTGGACGGTACATGGAACGAAAACGTAATGATGAACGGCAATAGTGACAAAATTAGAAAGGAGGGCGTCTTTCCGTCAAGCCGCACTCGTCACAGCTGATCGGACAACCTTAGACCTTGCACGGAATCGACGGTAATACGCTGGAGAATACGTTATAATATAAACCAATGGTACACATTATTTACATGACAGATGATAAGCAGCAGTTGCTCCATTACTATCTTCATTCCCTTCTCGACGCCCCCTTGTTTGCGTAGCCTCCTAAGCACGTGGCCTTCATTGCCCATCAGTATTTACTGTTCTGGTCAAATGTGATGTTGTCAGTGTTTCATATCACATATTGGCTGTCATAGTTCTATGGTATCACCATGTCTGTGTGAATCCCGTATACTGCCGCACAACGGTCTCAGAAACCGATGAAATTTTTTTATTATTAAAGACCGGTATGAATCAAATGTCTACATTCTGTAACTCTTTACTGTAAGGAATAATAATGTAGGGGGCGGAACCTGATATCGAACCCGCAACATTGGGTCACAGTCCTGGTTGCAGAGCTCAGACTATCTATATGCATGAAGAGCCCTGCTGATCTCTGTTTAACTTTATCCAGACCGACATACACTTGCAATCCAAGAGATTCAGCTGAGCCACGTAAACAAGACATGAGAGAGTTAAATTGACGCGTCGAACGTCTGGGTTTTCCTAATGTTCGGGTGTCTCGCCATCTACTGCATTCCATTGGAACTAATACTTTCAAAGAGTTCCGATAGAGGTCAGGGCCATACGTGCTTGGAAATAGACATAAAACGTACTGGATCTCGTAGGAGTCTCCCGATGATTCTACCGAAAACTGCGACTTACTTATCCAGAGTTATAGAGAGCAAGAATTGGCACCGAAGAATGCCGATCCTCATCCATCTTTCATTTCACTCATGACAGGCTTCCACATGTGAACACTTCATGATACCGACAACCTAGGGTAGAAGAGACGGAGTTCTTTACTATTCGGATCTACACTCCACAATTCTTGGGTATGGAACAACTGAATTAAGCTGATTGAAGAAGCAAGCAAAAATGATAAGTCATTCATGGCTTCCCTGCTTATTAGGTTAGCCTTCTAAAAGAAGGTTGCCCATGGCCAAAGTGATCATCAAAATATTTTACATGTTAGCTCATGACGATGAGTTATTTTCACTTCCCAACCGAACCCCCAACAAACCTATTTCCAACCGGATGAGTTGCCAAAATATCTCAATACTTCGCCGTAAAGAGGAAAACTAAGATTGACGGATAAAGTCCAGTATTCTGCAATGCCTTTCTGTCAAGAATTCAACCACTGACTTGACTCTTGTGTCAACTTATGCCATGATGATGATGATAATGATGAACGAGGAATCTTCATCCATCATCATTCATCACAGTATGAATGATGCATAGGTCTGATAGAACCAAGTCTGCCATTTTTCTGCCAAGAAAAAAAGAAAACAAAAAATTTCGCAACAATAATCTGCATGCGACCTTCTAATGAATTTTCCCACTTTCTTCTCCTTCGCAGGTGTCCTGACGTGGTGGATGGTGGCGGTGGCCCGAGGAGCCCTACTTCCACCCCCCAATTACAGTGTGTATCAAATGCCGGACACGAACTTCGATTGCAGGGACAAAATCGTCGGTGGATACTATGCAGATAATCAGGCCCATTGCCAGATGTTCCACGTCTGTGTTCGCGTTGGAGAACATGAGGTAAACAGAAAAAGACTCTTGGAAAGACAATTTTGTACTTTTGGAGGAGAAAATTCTACAGAACAGTGGAAACTCTTTTTCGTTCCTACCGCAGTCAGATTTCATTGAAAATACAATGATCTTACAGACAAAAATGAACTTATTAATGATGTCGCATCTGCTTCTTAATTTTTTCAATCAGAGACATCTGATCGTGAACAGTCACAGTTGGATAAATATAAAACTTTTCTGTCCATAGCGTTAAATAATAATTTAAAAAATGGAAGGGGGAACCAATGATGGGAGCAGTGCCACAAGAAGTCCCCATCCTTAAAATTACAGAGGCAAAATGACATGCACTGGTACCATGGACGCACAAATTATTTGACAGCCATTCTGTCACTTTCACCAAAAGAACTGAAGGGAACTCTTTTCACATTGGCCTTTGTGGCGGCGAGATCCTACCAGTCATTCATCATTTGCGAACTTTGGGTTATCGGATGAATAATGAACATAATTGCTGTCGTTTTTCAGAGTGAAGTACTTTTTATCTCTCCTTTTTCTGAGGAAAAACCCATGATGCAAGGCCACCACCATCAATATCGATATCGCGTAATTTTCATGGGCATGGTTACGCACGGTCTGCTATATGCAGACTGAACATGGACTGCTCCCTGAGTTGGAAACTTAATGAAACAAGAAATTTGATCGTTTCAAGTCTGGCGTTATTGCTCGGGCACTATCACAACTCATGTAGTCTGTTCTTCGTTAGCCCTACATGGCCATCAGCCTTTCGAGCTTCGTTATCGGAGACCAGCCATCTCACTGTGACATTTACGGAAGGGCCGTTGGGATGTTACACATGGGACGCATTAGGGTTAGATCCATTTCCGAGTCGAAATATGCGTCATTATCAAGCATTTTTCTCATAAATTTAATGAGGTTACGTAGCGAAGATATTTGGCTTAGAAAACTGACTCAAATTGTCACACCCGAGACTGACATTAAATGATGCCGTTGTCCGCTTCTCGCAATCAAGCCTAATTCGATATCGTCTCGTTCCAGGTCCGAGATTTCCGATTTCTGTGTCCGAACGACACAATCTTCGACAAGGATAACTTCATATGTGCCAATTGGTGGGAAGTGGAATGCGTGTCGGGGAAGGAAGGACCTCATAAGCCGAGCACGGGGGTGAAGACGCCTCCACCCCCAACTCCCGATGACGAATACGACTACTACTATTACGAGGACACTCCCTACGGGGATTACCAACAGGATGCACTGGTGTCCGGGTATCCGTCGACCACCCCGCGGTCCACCTACCGAAGCAGCACCCCAGGGACACCCTCTACCAGTTCCATCAACTATCACAGTAGTTCCCTGGCACCGCGGTACCACAGTAGCACGCTGGGGCCCAGGTACCACAATTTTTCTTACCAGAAAAGGAAAGGGTTAATTTCAAAATTAAGAGAAAGAAAAAAGAAGAGAATTTAAAACGTGGAGAATTTAAAAGAAATTCAAAATTTAGACGCAATGAAAAGCATTGTTTCAAAATCTCCAATTTCACAGGTACCACAGTACATCGACACCATCCCCGACGAGCACCACGACGACCCCGAGACCGAAATACATCTCGTCGCCGACTCCTTCAGTCCGGTACTTCGTTTCCACGGAGCTGAGTGTGTCTCAGGGCGACCGAGAGAAGGCGATCACGACGACGACTAAAGAAACCCCGAAGCACTCGGTGTCCACGGAGCTGAGCGTGTCGAAGAGCGAAGATCCCGGACGCCAAACCTCATATCACCCGTATTATCCTAGTGAATACTTCCAGGGCGGACAGCAGATCTTTGGACAAAGGACGCGGTTGCGACAGACCACGCCGTCGTATTTCTCGAGACGAGAAACGACTGCCAACAGGGAAAGAACGCGAGTGTCCTATGAAGTGAATGTTGGGGAGAACGTAGACAAGAAAGGCAGCGAACAGGCGTTCCTGGATCATCAACAGAGTAGCTCACGGGTGACGTACAGTCGTTCGCACGAGCAAGATCGCAGCGGTTCGCCGGCGACCTTGAGTCGATCGGCCGATCAAGGTCAAAGCAGTTCGAGTGTCGTGTTCAAGGTCGGTCGCGAAGACACGGATGGGTACGAATCCGAACGTGGCTACATAGTTCGGGACGACCAGAATCATGGGACTCACACCAAATCCTCGTACACGACTCAGGTTGAGGTCGGGCCAGGTCAGAGGTACATCACCCACGTGTCCCGGATCTCGTCCAGTTCCCGGGTGGAGCCGGGTTACACGGCAATAAGCCGTCGTGTCGGTCGCAGCGACGAGGATGACGCTTCGAAGAAGAGCGCACCACAGTCGCAGTCTTCGGTTGAACCTATTTTTGGTGCTAAGACTATCATCAGTGTGAGGAAATCCCTGTCAAGTAAGGGACCAGAAGTCAACCGGTAGTGATGCTGATAGATCTTTCACTGTGTTGTTCAAGAACTTGGCATCTCAAGTATATGAATACTTTTTTGTTCCAAAAGCAATTGACGAAAAGCCATTTAAAAATATTTTTGGGTCACTGGTATTTGGAAAGTATTCAATTACTTGAGTGAAAGTTTTCGTACAGCAATGCCAACTTTCTTCTGTATTCTCATGAGCGTCTCATGAGTGTGTGCATCTGGTGGGCTCGAATAGTGTAAGAGTGAGCGTAGGAGTTCCTCATTTCTTGGAATGATGTCTTTCTGCAGTGACTATGTACTTCAGTGGGAGAACCTGCGTTGCAAGTTCTGCTCTGAACAATGACGATGTTTTTACTGTAAAGGGGATATAAGTATTTCTATTATTTGTATTCCAGTTGATTCGCTATAATCCACGTTCACTTCGACCCCATCTTGGATCAAAGCCTACAGACTGCTAGACCAACTTTTTTCGAGTTCGCGCCTTCAACAGCAGGCTACATGGAGACTCAAAAGCATTTGTCATATACCACCTGAATATGGAGTCTACCCTAATGTGCAACACGTTTCTATACTACTACTAGTACTAGTGCACATTCAATATCCGAAAACACATTTCCCACGCCATGGTAGAGGAAATGTCAGAGACCTATTTTTCCCATACGGAAAGCATGAGACATAATCGAAGGATGAGTAATAGGAAAACGTTTCAAAATAGTCTCTGAATCAAATCAGCTTGCAGGTAAAGGGGCAATGCAGCCATAAGATCAATATCATCTGCAGTTTCACATTCTCAACGTACTCGTATTTACATAAATATCCATGAATGCATGAATCTCTATGCATTTTTTATGCATTTTTATGTGCTTGACGAATTGGAAAGGGGGCAATAAAGTGAAAACAAGTAGGTTATTTGCGCCGAAAACGTTCCTATTATGATAGATATAAGAATGCCCTAGAGAACCCTGAATAAGTCACTCATTGTTCTCCATGACACAAGTCGAATCAGTCCAGCTTAATCCACACATCGAATTATTTTACATTTCTCCTACAATTTATGCCAGTTTCGCCGTAATGACTAGTCAAGTTTTTTTTAAAATTGCATTTGACCGGAGCGCTGAAGCATATTTAGGCCAGGCCTATCTGAATATTTGCAAAGAACAACACTTAAATGCGTTTTCCACGATTATCCACTTTAGATTTATTTTCAAGATTCAAGATAGATAGTGACATCAAGAGGCGATTTCGCCCATTTCGATATCACGTGTCGAGGTCGAGCGTTCCTTAATTTTAGGGTAGGCCTAACCCTCTTGAAGCTAAATATTTTTGTATTTTCGTTTTGTTTTGTTTTTTTTTGTTTTTTGCTTTTTGACTATCCTAGTTGCTTACTGTCTAGTACCTACGGTCAACATTGCCCCCCACCTTTTTGCCTGTCCATGAAAGCATCCAGTTTCTTCTTAAAGATAGTCACAGAAGGGGCAGCCACTACTTCGTCATCTAACGCATTTCACGCGTTCACCACTCTGCAAGTAAAGAATTCCTGTCTCGACCTGAGCCGCACCTGCGGTTTGCGCAACTTAAGTCGGTTACCTCTCGTTCTCTTGCTGTCATCAAACTGGAAAAACCTACCACA